AGAATCTTTATACCACCTAATTTACGGGGGCAAGTTGCTTCTTTCTTGTGATTTGCTCCCCCTTCCCCTCTTCTTATAATATGGAACTGCAAATCAAATTCCTCTGAGGTAAGTCAGAATAAAGCAGTACACAGTAATGCTGCTAGAACATACAGGTATATTTCATACCCTTAATCAGATGAACAAAACATTCAGAACTGAGAGATTTAAGTTGCTACGGTCCCAACTATTTAATAATACATTATAGCATCAAAGTTTTGTGATGGATTGTATTGAAGGGGAATAAACTACTAATAGTTAAAATTCACCTCCTCAGACATGAGCATTAAATGCATTTGGGGGGGTTGTCACTACTCTGGAACTAAATTCTTAATGGGTTGAGTAAATGAGCTGATAGCTTTAAAAATGCATAGAGGAGCAGATGGCTCAAACCAACCAGACCTGTTATTTCATGGTGTTTGATAAGGGGTGGTGGTAAAAGAAACCATACACAAGAAACGCTGTGTGACTGACCAGCCCAAACTCTGGCTGCTGGTCTTGTCTTGACCAAAAGGGATGAGACTATGTGGTAAAGTCAGGGGACAAAGAATTTGGTATCCAGAATATGGCTCCACGCTTACTTTGATGATGTTGGCAAGTTTCACGACTGGTATGCTTCAATTTAAGTCTATTTAAAAAGCTGCATTTCTACCTGCTGTATCTGATAATACAGACATGAGGGGTTTTGCATTTAATTTCATACTGTGAGATCCTTAAATGAATTGCCAAAAGACCCCAGTATGATCTTCATTCTGAATAGTTTTCTTCACATTATAAAAGAAGCTTCCATCATGCCCCAGAAGAGTAGGGCATGGATTAAACACAGCCAGGTTTACTTGGAAAAATTACCCTAGCAGGGGGACCCAGGTGGAATTTCAGACTACTACAAACAACAGAAAACCCATGCCTTCTTCCTTAGTCATTGCCATCACTGGTCACGCTTAAACATCAACCTTTGTGTCTCAGCATTGCTGCAACATTGTCTAGTATTAATCCAGGCAGTCATGTGCCATGTTTTATGTAATGATCCATACTTTCACACCACAGACACACAGCCAGAAAAGGAAACACATTGATTTAGCACTCGGTAATCCTTGTTTAATCCCCAGTCCTTTGGTTTACATCACTAGCATGGCTCCCGCAGTAGTCAGTGTTCTATCTTTGTTCTTGGCAGACTGAATTAAAGAAAAGATTTATTAATTTGTAAGTTGGCTTTGTAGATGCATCTTAAATGTACTAAAAACCAAAGCGGTCCAAAAGCCAGTATTGACTTAACTATAAAAATCTGCTCTTTAAAACTCAAACCTTTGCAACAATCCAAGTCAAGCTGCAGCAAGTAATTTATTGGCTTACTAATGCGATTGCATTGTATAGGGGTAAATTTAACAACTGTCTTATTGCAGGCCCTCAGCCTACTTCCTTTTTCACTCATTTCTACAAATGCAATTAATCTCCTCTTCCCTTGCTCATCTACACCTAGGACTGCAATGCTTTATGGCTCAGGTACTGATAAGAGAAAGGGGTTGGAACTAATGGATTAATTTGCAAAAAATGTTAGAGGGCCAGAGATCACCATTCATTCCAGTGGTGATAAATATTCCATGTAATTGCTGCACAAATGCTAGTGTTTGGGATTTATTTCTATTAGTTTACGAATGCTGGTTGCTCTCTTCCTTCTCACAGTGCCAAAGACGATGATTCTTGGGAGGAAGCCTTTTGTAATAATTTAGCTGTCATCACCTTCACTCCTGAATCCTTTAGGCCAGGTACAGGCTAGCCCTGTTCCTTTCTGGCAGGTGAGATTCCAGAGCTAACTCCAGCAGCTTAAGGTGGCTCTTCACTCACAACCATCCTACTAGCAAGTCAGCTGAAATCCCGAGTGATAACCATGCTCATGTTACAACTGTAAAGAGCTTTACATTCTTTTCGGAAGAAAAGAATTGTTAATTTCCTAGATGCACTCAGACAACTGTATTTCATAGTCTATAGCAATATAGACTGTCCTGCCTGCTGGAAATCATTCTACTTTGGGAAAGTCCAGGTCAGTTCCTTAAGCAAATAAACTTTTAGAAGACTGTAATTCACTTTCTAACTATGGCATTTAGGCTCAACTCTAAATCAAACTAATGTAGTCTGGTTGCTCATTTCAAGGAAACTATAATGTGGAAAAAAAAATTCCCTTTTCTGAGTGTTTAAATAAAATCAGTAGTGATGTAAAGTGTTAATGAGTTAATTGTTGTAATGTGCAAAAGAAGTATCACATGAATAGTGCTTTGGTAATGGGAAGTAAGTAAGTGTGGGATGGGTCTGTTCTTGCAAGCAGATCTGCAACGTGTGTGTGTCCTTCCTCTTGAAGCTGATGAAACTCTTTACCTCTGTGTCTGTCTGCTAGTAAGATTACAGATGCAGTTCATGCCCTCATTTTTAAATTGTGCTTGCATGACTGAGTTTATTTTTAAATCTACCTAGTCACACAAACAGAAATATTTAACCCCCAGCAAAGGGCGGTTAGTTAGATGTGAAGGCATGTAGTAATCTTTAGAGTATCTTCCAAAAGACCTATTAGTAAACCTAAACATCCCTTATGACTCTCCATAATTACTTTAGACACCAATGTTGACAGTAAATAGCATTTTTCAGACAAAAGAATATACTCAAATGTTCCTAACTTCCAGGCTATGATCTAATAGCACTCTTACTAAGACATGGGATATTAATCCATTCTTCCTAGGGGGCTGCCACTGTGCCAGTATCATAGTATTTGCATCAAAAGCTTTTTCTTACAGTGGATGTAAGATGCACAGGCCTTTATTAAAGATGCATTTTGTGTCCTGCTTTGGAGCCTGAGGTCTAGAACACGTGAGGGAAGTACTGCATGGGGGTGGCTGCGAGCCAGCCCACCAGCCAGCCATGCCAGGCACAGAAGCTGGGCTGTGTCAATGCCCTGGAGCCTCACAGTGGCCCTGGAGCATTGGGTGCTCATCATGGGCATTCAGAACAAGGGGTGTGCTGAGTGTGGAGCTGCTCTGAAATGCTGGAGGGGTTTGTATCTTGGTCCCCGCTCCAGTTCTGAAACTGGCTTCTCACCACTTACAGTTCTGTCTGGTGGCACGGCTGCCTTTCCCTGTCAAAAGGATGAGCAGAGAGGGCGATTACTTGTTCTCTACTAGGACCAGGCTTGGCCCGTCTCACTTCCTACAGTAATCATTCACCCAAGATGGGCAGGCTCTGGTTTTGCTTTCCTTTTCTGCTGGATTTCAGGGACTACAAGTCTTGAGGGTTGGGGTTGGTTTTGTTTTTGGTTTTTGGGGTTTTTTGAGTGATAAGCTGTGGAAACTTAAATTTTGTTCAGAATCTAAGTTTTTGAAATAGTCTAAAAGCATGTTGAGCAGCCTCATGCCTGTTGTACCTGGAGTCCCAAGAAGGTGTTCCTGGCCTAGATCCATAAAACGACGGTAGCAGTTGTGCCTCTAACCCTGTCAGGGTTGGGGGGAATAAAGTGCTAATTTTTGAGACAGGACACCTAGATCCATGCTTGAGGAGATGCAGTTGTTTTTTCACCTTCAGGATAGTGCCAAACCACCAGCTTGACAATGGTGTTTTGTTTTTTTGGTTTTTTTTGGGCATGGGTCTTCATCAACTCTCACTTCAAGGCAGTGCCAAACCACCAGCTTGACAATGGTGTTTTGGTTTTTTGGTTTTTTTTTGGGGGGCATGGGTCTTCATCAACTCTCACTTCAAGGTTGTTGATTAAAAAGGTGCAGTGATTACACAGGTTAAAGCACAGGGCACGGCACTCTCCTGAACAGATGGAGACTTACATACTTTAATGTTAAACTTATTTATTTACAACCAGAGTGGAGAGGAGACTAAAACCCAAGTGAGTATCCACTGGGTTATACCCTTTTAAGAATTAAGTGATTGTGAAATTGTTCTTGTACAGCAGAATTTCACTAAGGTCTGTTTGCAGAGCACCACTCGAATGGGAGACACCAATCTAGGGCTGCCTGGCAGGCTTCATGTGTGGTGTAACATGAGACAGGACAGCCAGAAGGAAATCTCTTTGCAAACTCCCTATGATGGGTCCCTGGACCACGCACAACAATATTTTCATATTTATTTGTTTATCTGTGTAGATTCTGACCTCCTTTAAGAAAGGGGAAAAAGAAAAAAATAAAAGGTTTCTTCCAGCAGCAGGTTCATGGAGAAAGAGCCTGTCTCGTTCCATAAGGCTGCTGGCTGGAGCCTCTTGTAGCTCCTCCTCTGTGTGGGAGGTGGACGATGGGTGGGGATGGAGCACTTACCATCTACGCAACTCTGTCTGGTAGATGTAAGGAACACCAGCACCTCCCCTTGACTCAGGATCACTCAAAATTAGGCTTTAACTTTCAACTGCAATGTGATCCTCCATGCAGCTACCGAATAGTAAAGAAATAATCAAAGAAATGCATTATTTAAAGTGTCATCACACTCCAAAATGTGTAAGGCCAAGTTTTATTTAGAAAAGCCTGGCAACAGTATCCTGTTTCTGTGTTTTAATGGAAAGAACATTGGGCTTGGTGTTTAAGGCTTTTAGTCCAACAGTATTCTCTGCCTGTAAAGCACAGCTGGATAGCAGACCCAGACCTTAATTTGCTTGTGTGTTTTCCCTGAAATAATTTCTAAAGTCTTTTGATGTTGCTGTTCACTACAATTCTGGGGACTTTTCCTTTGATGTCCAGCTCTGTACAGAGGCAGAAACAAATATTTCCAATAAAGTATCAACAGTGCACAGCCTGGACACAAAACACTTCAGTTTGTAAAGCTGAGTTCTAGTTTCCAGGCCACCTCCTTTTTAACGAACTGCCCCTTGCTAATTGCTTCA